AAAAGGTAAGACATATGTCTTTAGCAAGACAATGTCTCTCTATTTTTCACCATTTTTGGTCAATTTTTATTTTTTTTAACTGGAGAGATGCACCCACAAATCTCTAACGTGGGTGCTCTTATACTTTTTCTTTTGTTGACATTGTTATTTTATACTTTTTTAAGTACCTAGTCTACTCTCTTATCATACAATACAGTGAAATATTATTATCCAGGATCCGAGATCCGATTCGTTATCTATTCGGAATCACTCCGAAAATTAGGATATCCAGGGAGTCCGGATCCGGATAAGGATAGTAAAATTTAGGATCCGTGAAAAGAGAATCCGGATCCGGATAGCAAAATTTTAAGGTCCGGATATTCGGATTCGAACGGATTAAATATATTAAAACTATATATATTATATATCTATTAAACTAATTTTATATAAATAAATATATATAAAAATTGATTTTAGTTCTTTTTATAATAAATTATATTTATAATGAAAAAATACCATTTAAAATATTAACTAATAATTTTTAAAAATATATTTTTATTTATTTTAATTATTTTTAATATTAATTTCGGATCCGGATCCGGATATCCGCGGATATCCTAATTTTTGGAAAGATTCCTAGAGCCAGGATATCCGGAGGTCACGATTCCGGATCCGGATAGTTTTTTCACGGATCCGACGATTCCGGATAATCTGAAATTCCAGGATATCCGGAATCGTCCCACCCCTACAATATAGTCTATCTATGGAATTGTGGGAGATCTCGACGGAGTGGTGGGTCGCAAATGTTCAAAATATGATTAAATTTTAAAGCAAAACGTTTTACACGAGGTTATTTAATTAAATGAAATGATCGACTCAATGTCAATGGTACTATCACTATTCATGTACATCACAAAATAATCAAACTTCACTCGGACACAAGGACACCACCCACGTTCAATTACTTTGGGTCCACTGGGATAAGGTAAAGAGGAGATAGGTGTGGATTTGATAAACAACATTTTTTAAAATATAAATTAGATCATTTTTTAATCTTCGAAATAGAATAAAATCATGTGAAAAAACCGCAAAAATCGATTTTTATCCACTTGACTAAATATATTTTCTCGTATAAGAAAAACGATCTCTTTCAATAGTTACCTTAACTCAACATATTAAAAAAAATTTCAAATTATTTATATGAACTAGTTTTCATTTGACCAATATCAACCCACGGTTAAGTCATACTGAGTTGAGTGATATAACAACATTGATTAAAAAATCGACGACGTTTTGTCTTTTTTTTTTTGTTTATCAAACAAACGTCGTTTTATCTTTTTTTTTTTTTATCAAACAAATGTTGTCCTGAATAATCTTGCATCGACGAAAAAGTTGGAAAAATCGATGAACTATGATTGGAGACGAGTAACTGGAGACGAAAATACCAAGAAATCATAGTCAAAACTACATGTTGTTGAATCTCATTTTTATGTCTATTTTCTTATACAAATCATAGATTTCAGACATATGTGTAGGTTTTAATAAATTTTTCTTTTTAAATGTACCAAGTAGTCCATTAAATATACGTGAGAGAAAAATACATGTTTTAATATAATTTTCGTTTACCTATTAAAACTATATGGATGCCTTCGTATTCATTGTGTGCCAAGGTGGAAAATTGGACGAAGAATTATGATGGGAAATTCGTTTATGTTAATGGTGAAGTGAATACTATGAAATGTAAATCGGAGAACTTATTTACGATGTTGTCGCATTAGTTGAATAGAGGTTTATATGACAAGAATGTGTGTTGTAAGATGCCTTTTGAGTTTTGAAGACAATAAAGATTGGAAGAGTTTGTGTAATAGCCTAATAGGGATTTGGTTTTCAAGAAGATATGTGAAAAGGCTCGTTCGACATAGGTTGTTGATGTGTATGTGGTTAGCTCAACAGAGCATCCATATGATTACGTGAGTGATTTTGAGCCTTTGAAGAAGAATTTAGAGTTGAAAGAAATTCCGACCCCCTTAACCTATAAAAACACCACAACAACCATAAAAATACCAAGTCTTCATCATTCTCTTGAAGATTGATTTATTTATTTTCATCATCAAACTCTTTTAGTTTTCTTTATTTTTGTTCGATAAGAGAGAAGATCTCACTTCTTTGTATTTCTTGGAGAAGTTTTCTGAAACCTTTACTTTTAATGAATATGTTTTCTATTTTTCATTGTTGAGAAATAAGGGTTTTAAAAGGAGAATTTCATGGTTTGATAGATAGGGTTTAACCATTAGAGTGACACTCTTGATAAATTAAAGTAATCTTTCATCTAGAACTGATCTTATTGCATATTCTTTTACTGATCATATAAGAATTGATTATAGAACCATTTCGGTTTGAACATCACTTGAGTTATTATTTTGATATGATGTATGATGGGTTTAGCGCTTTAAATTTCGAAGGTTAAGTTATTGAGTTAGGTGAAAAATTGAAGTTGATAATAATTGCATGTGCAATCTATGTCATTAACTACAAAAGTTGATTATAGGATTATTTAGACATAGATGAATATTGCCACGTTTGTTTTGCCTGGTGCCATAGAGGAGCTAGTAAGTCCACTAGTGTTCGGAATAGTTCTTCATCGTTTATTTAGCTTTGTACTAGCCAACGTTTTTGGTAGGAGAAACTTGCGCCGTTCTTATTTTGGATTTTGAGGTTTCTCCTCGGGTTTTGCTCATAGAGCTATGCTTCTAGTCGCTCTCATCGACGCGAGAGGAGTCGGTGATCGAGATCGTTGAAGACTTTTGCCGTTGACATCCCTTGTTTGGACCTCTCTTGAACGGCTTCTATCGCACTTGGTTTAGTCTTGTGGTCTTCGTGTTTACKCGGTAACCTTTTAAGCCCAACTGATTTGGCCGAATACTCAACATCGCCATCACTCCGTTTAGCTCCATAAGCCAGGCGTTTATGTCGAGCTACGGAATGAAAATTTGTATGCATATGTTTCCATGTTTTTTAAACTTTTTTGCCGTGGAATACATTGTATAGGGTTACAATCTTTTGTAATCCTGAACAAATTCATTCTATGAAATATTTACCTTTTAGAAAAAAAAATGTTAAGAGGTTCTACTACTTATTATTCCACCTCAAAGAATGAAGAAAAGAGACCATTTTTGTAAAAAGGTTGATCAACGAATTATGTTTACACATCCAAAGAAGAGCCAAATGCATGTACTAATTTTAATTTTGTTTAACATTCGTTGACTATTTACATTTGTGTACGTTTTATCGTAGTTTTACAAATATCACCCGTACGTAGTATGGGCTCAACACTAGTGAAAAGATGATACTGAAGGCAAAAGTTTGCAAAAAAAAAAAGTACTTGACGTATTCATCATCTGAGAGACAAAGTATTCAATAAGAATCACGATGTACAAAACATTAAAAAAGATGCAAATACAAATAACAATTAACAACCATCAACGCAAAACAGAGTCGTTGTGAAGCGATGTGCTCTCGTCAGAAGAAAAAGAGAAAACATTACTTTTTTGTGAAGGTTGAAGACATATATCTTCTTATGATAGCCAAGCTAATTGCCATTTTTAGTATACAATTAAATAATCAAATGCCAAAGAAATGATCTAGAATATTAAAATTGTTTCCTAAGGAAAATGATGATTTTCTAATTAATTATGAATCTCTTTTGCTAAAAACAGAAAAAAGAAAAAAAAGTTCCACCTAAGGTGAAATTGTTTACTTGGAAAGCTATACAAGGTGCCCTACCGGTTGGGGATCAACTAATGGTGCGAAACATCATAACAAATGCTAAATGCTGCAGATGTGAGGGAATTGAATCGGCCCTCCACTTGCTATTCCTATGTCCGTATGCCCAGGAAGTGTGGCTGAACGTTAGCTCCGGAATGTTTGATTCTGCTCAGATTATATAAGTGTTTCAGCTGGCCTTGCAAGAGCTCATAAGTTATTCTCCTTACCTCCGATTGGACTTGAGAAGGAAACCTTGTCCCCGTGGATCTGTTGGGTGTTGTGGATATCCAGGAATCAGAATAGAAACTTTATGGTGAATGAAACAATCCGTAAAACTTACTAGGATGCATGAGAATAGCTGTTGGCTCAAGCGGATTCTCCAATTCCGATTGTCCGACTCCAATCAATCCAAAACAAAAATCCAGTGTCTAATACGGATAGATTTATCAATTGCTATTCCGATGCAGCATGGAATGCTACTTTAGAGATGGCGGGCCTTGGATGGTGCTTTAATTCTCCGGCGAAGACCATCTCAGACCACTCAAGTTTCTCCTCCAATGTATCTTCAACCTTGGACGCAGAAGCCTTAGCGATGCGAAGTGCAGTTCTACAAGCGGCGAGTCTGAACTGTGCAAAGATCATCTTCAATTCAATCAAGATCTCCATATCTCGGCCATACATGGAGTAGTTGCAGACATTCTGATTTGTTCCACGAACTTTCAATTTGCTAGGTTTAATTATATTAATGTTAAGGCTGATTGCCTAGCCAAACAAGGGCTAAAGCTTGTAATGAACAATCCTTAAGTTTAATGAAATCGGTTGATAAAAAAAAAAAAGTTATGAAACTCTTTCACGTAGAAATATAACGACTTACAATACAAGTATAATTGATGTTGACGGTGGATCG